TTGCGAACCTTTCGAAGCCCGCGTTTTACGACGCCTCGGGTACATCCGGGCGGAATGTCTCGCAATGGGGCGGCGTGGTAACCTAAATTCGTTGACGGGGTATATCGTTCGCCGAGGTCGTTTCACTTGTTTTCGAATCTTAGTTCAGAATTTATTAGATTGTCCAGAAAGTTTGTGCCAATTTTCGCGAAAACTTCAAAGGCACATTTTAATTGTAATATACATTTATTTATATGTATATTTATTGAATTACATTGGTACCATTTTGTTCCACAACCTTTCCACCTTTTAAGGGATGTACGTATATATGTTATTTGTTTTCAGCCATTTCGACATATTCAGACCTGCACCACCTATCAAAAATCAGCGTAGACTTTCCGGACAACCCAATACTTTGTTCGACTCGGTAGTTTGTAGTGGATAGAGAATTAATGGAAAATCTTCATAAGACAGACGATCGCGTCAGGAATATGTCAAATAAATAAATAAGAGATAGAAAAAAAACCACTAATGGTGACATATTATCGAAAGTTTGAGAATTGGGAAAATTAGAAGAACGTCCATCGAGCGTAAAATATCGAGAACAGTTTGAATAAACCAGGCTTGAAGCTCCGGAGTTGTGAACCTCGAAATCGGACTCTGAATTAGATTCGCAGCATTTAGATTCCCACCTTGATAACGTCGTACATCGTCCGCCTCGCAACTTTCGCCTCTCATCGCGGAGATTCTGTACTGACTTGGGAATTCTCAGCGTCGTTCATTCAGAAAGAGGAAGAACTCGGACATGAAGGACAGGCGGGAGGATGCGTGACCGTGCATAACGATTGTCTTGATATCACTCGTAACATAGTTGTTAGCGTACAACAGATTTTCCTTCCAAGGGCAAGCATTTAGCATTTAAATTCGAAGAATTCAATTTGTCCGAGTTAGTCTCAGCTCGTAAAATCCGAAAGATCGATCGAATTAGTGTGGATTCGAGCAGTTAGGGCCGCCGCCTAACCTGGTGTCGTTAAATCGATCACGTATCAGCGAATTTAATTACTGGTTCGATTATCCTCGTTTCAGACTGTTTCTCTCCCGACGGAGCCGCCGTGTTCTTCTTCCCTTCATTTTTTTTCTCCTTTTTTTTTACCTCGACTGGCGTTCGAGGTGAATCGACGCGGCTGGATCGGTGCCGCGGAGCGGAGGCGCGAGCAAAAAGTGAATGGGTGATGGGTTCGTTGACCGTTCGTTTGCGATGTTGACATTCGACCTTGACAATCCCCTCGCCGCGATAATGAAAAAAAAAATCGACGGCCTCGCGCCAATGGACACCACCCAGCGAAAACGCAGACGTCGAGTTGGCGGCACTGGATCGAGGATTCCCAACTAAGTCTCGTAAGACTCTTAACGAACAGGCATTGATCGTACAAATGATTTTTCTTTGTTTGGTCAATTCATTAAAATGAGAAATTTCGAAATATCTTTATCTTTCTTGGTTATTGAGAGCAGTTGTGTTCTTTGTAAGTTCGATTGCTTCAAGTATCGCTTCTGTGTTATGTTACTTTGTGCTTAGTGTCTATTTCTTGCTTCGAAAAATTATGGGCTCAAAAAAAATGTGTCCCAGACGTCGTTATTTTAGTCAACCATAATTTATCCATCGTTCGTTATCTAGATAAGAATATTCCTCGTGTTTGAAGAGCCCTGGACACCCGTGACGATCGCGTAGATGGTCTCTGGACTCGTTTGGGAACGATTCTCGCGGCGTTATTAGCCAATGCCATTAGAGGCCTAACCGTAGAGACACGATGGCTATTTGCACCGCCCGACCGCCCCTCGGGTTATATCCCTTGTCTTTGCTTCTGCCTTCGCTGTTGCCTACGCCTCGCGGGCTCGCCTTGCCGGAGAAACTACAATCGCATCCAGTACACGGGCTGACGCTCGTAAACCCAGCGGACGCCAACTATAAAGTAATACAAACGCCGGTCGGGCCTTAAGATAGTTACCTCTGTTTAGTGGCCATTAATTTTCCTACGCCGGTATTCGCAGGATATTATTGTATCACTGTATCACCGACTGGCAGTGTCGCTGACTTTCTCTGCTGGCGATACCACTGTACCGGCTAATCGATTCGAAACTACCTTTCGGCCTCCGTCGCGGGCTACGCGGAACCTGGTGCACGTCATAACGCGTGCGAGTTGAAATTAGGTTTGTTTTAGAAATAACAAGGATGCTCGAGATTCGATGATTTTAGGGATTGAAACGTTAGACGTGGAATTTATACTTTGGAACATTTTGCACGGAGGGGTTGATTCCTTTTCGTTAAATAAAATGTGTAGATTTTTAAGTGATTATTAAATAATTGTATTTTATAATCGGCTTTTGAACGAATGTATTTTTAAATAGGTTTATAATTCAATGGATTTGGAAACTGATTCTTACATGAATTTATTTTAAAACTGATTCTTACATGAATATATTTTGAAATTGAATTTTAAATGAATGAATTTCATAGTTGGTTTTTGAATGAATATATTTTAAAACAGGTTAACAATTAAATCTATTTTAAAATTGGGTATTAGATGGATATATATTCTGAAATAGGTTTTTGAATGAATGTACTCTAATGCTTCTAAAGAATGAAAAGTATGTAAAATTAGCGACTGCACAGACGCTGTGCACGACAAACTACCGGTCGTTCACGTCTGCGAATTTCCTAAAAGTTTTCACTTTCCCACGCGGCGCACGTTTACTATCCGTGCAGTGCGGCTGCGGCTTCGACTGAAATTGTACAAACGTAGTTAGCTATCGCGTTAATATTCGCAAAGCTGCTCGCAGATCACGCGCAATGCACAAGGGTACACGGACGTTTCGAAAATTCAACAACTCTGAAACCCAGCTACTGGTCTGTGGTAGAAGATCTTTTAATTATTAATTATAATAACATTTTTTCAAAAATCAGCAGAGTTTCAAAATAATTCGAATCTTTCGTGTTGTTCGCGATTCCTCGTTAGTCAAACATGTTAAACGCTAGAACACGCGTGTTAGATTATGATACACCAAGCAATCAACCGCCGTCGCGGCGGAACACACACACAGGCCTTTGGAGAGCGCGAATCGGACACGCTCAAAAAGAGGATCATTAATGTAATTAATAATTAAGGTAACAGAGGAATGGTTGAGTCCAGCACGCACACACCAATACCGTTAACGAGCCCACATATCAGATTAAAAATGCGACAAAATCGTCCGGCGGCTCGAGAACGATTTGAGGGTTTCGAGACCTCGAGTAGTCGAGGTCGTCGATACTGTCGTCTCGAGCCGTACACGAGTTATGGTTACGAGATCAGCGGATGTTAAATCTAAGATGACTTCCAGGATCAGAACTGAGGTGAAGAACATTTATAGAAAGAAACCTACTGTATTTGTTTATTATTTGTTCGGAGGAGTAATGGATCAAAGCTTAATATTGTTTATACTTACTGATATACTTACAGACGAACATTGAAATTTTACAGAGTATCACGTATCTACTCGAATGATTCTAATATAAAAATACATATACTTTTGAAAGATTGTACAATAGAGAAGAAGGAATTGTTTGTTTCTTTAGTTATTAATTTTTCTTTCTTAGAAACATATTTCTATTTGAGGAGTCACCGAATTAATATTCAGAAGTCATCCTAGGGTTAAACGAGCCACGATTAATGATATTACTGACATATTATTAATGATTAAACACACAAGAGGAGAAGATCGCGGGACGCAACGATTATATTCGTGCCGTTAGTCAGCGGCAGGGTTTTGATTAAATGTGTTACATATCGATATCGAGAGCTCGAGCTTGGAACAGTTAGACAAAAGTTAAGCGGAACACGTTCCGAGCTGATATACCATTGCTTGACTTTTCGCTTTAATAATAAATAAATAAATAATTTCGTGTGCCAATACACTAAAATAATTTCATGCCGGGAGCATGAATTATTCTTTTAATAATCGATCTAAAACTTTTTAAATTCGAAGGAAATAAATTACAGGACACGCGAGACGTGTCCACTCCAGAACAATGTAATTCATAAATAATACATCAAATTTGAGACGATAGACTACCAGATCAAAATAGTGTCGAACATTTCAAAAATTTTATTCCATTTTCCCCTAATTAGAAATAATTTTACTTATTTATTTCACTATGTAGCCCAACAAAAATGTCTAGAATGTTTGCCGCGAATCCTTCAGAATATGAAAACAGATCAAGAGATCCTGGTCTGCGAAGTTGCAAACCTGATCCGACTAGATGCAAGCCGTGCATTCTTAACATCCTTTCGCGCGGAGGGCACTGATTATTTTTCTGGAGTGGAGCGTTTCTCGGAAACGTCTGACAGGACGAGATCCCCAGTGCGAAACTAGCGACCCCGCGCAAATAATTTCCATAATCTGAGATCGCTCTAGGACCTGGACCGTATTTTTTCTGAAACGCAACACGCCGGTGTCCTCGTTGCAATCGTTCTCGTAATCTCGCATTTTCTCCGCGCTCGAGGTCGCCACGGTTCGACTGAAGTATAACGCGACGTTGCCTTTGTTCTAGCTGAATTCTTGGCAAACTATTATCATCGTTATTGTACATTTGTATTTTCAAATTGTTATACGTCAATACACAATGCCCTGTATGCAATTTTTATTAAATACGGTACAGTTTCACATTTGAATGAATCGTATTTCAGTTACGTTATGATCAATAATTATTATTATTTTTTTGCAATTGCAATCTCCTAAATTGTATTTTGATTTAAATTGAAAAATTCTCATGAAAATCTGTGTGTTCCATAAGAGTCTGTGTTAAAAATTACAAAACTTTGGTATCGTTTCTCACGAAACGAGCGAAGTTTTGTTAAAATAATTCGTGTATTTGACAGAATCGAACCGCGATGGTCAAGCAATGGTCATCAGCTCGATCGCGTGCGCGCTCTACCGTTTCTTAGGTATTGTTTCATTGATATGGTGTGATTGCCTGGACTCACCGATCCTCTTGACGTGGACGTCTCGATTGAAGGAGACGGTTCTCTCTGCGGGCTTCCACCCGGAGATAGAAGCCCCTGACGAATCGGGGGGTAGTAGTAAATCGTCGGTAGGAGGGTGGCAGGCTTCTCCCTCTCTTAAAAACTCCGAGCGTTGAACCTCGAGCATCTTCCCAGCCTTTTCCTCCCAACCATAACACACAGCCGGAGCACCACCGTTTTTCCCCACCTTTTTTTATTTTTTTATCCTCGTTTTTCCTCTTACCTCGCTACCCCCTACCCGAGAGCCATTCAACCCTGGCCACTAAATGCTTCACCCTCTCAATCTCCCCTTCTCTCTTCCCGATCACACCGCTAGACCCCGATCACCGACCTGTAAGCCAAGCAAAGCTGTGCTCTTAGTATCTCAATAACACCTCCTCATCGAGATTGAGATTTATGATGTCGTTCTTTCCGTCTTCCCGCTATAGGAACGACGGTTTCTTTTTGTCGCGGCCGCGGAGACGTTTTTCTCCGTTCGTTGCGGGAAGCTTGTAAGCGTGTATACTCGATCCAGGGGCTCTCAAACTTCACCATGAACCTTCGGGATAAAAGATAACTCTGACCATGTTGAATATATTTATTCGATGGAATTTTTAACTAAACAGAAGTCATTCGTCGTATATATTTTCAAACGTTCCTTTACCGAACAATACATAAGATATAAACATTCAAGAATATCGAACCATTCGGACTGAATAAAAATTCCTGAAGAAGAACAGGACTCTCTCAAAGAAAGTTCTAAAATATATTTAGTACCCGAAAATGATGCCAATTTAATTCCATTGTGTTCGAAGTTTGAGAAGCCCTGTCGTACGCTATATATGTACAGACAAGTGAACGGGAGCGTCAGTGGGCGAGCGTTGGTCTATTTGCGGTCGTCCTTACTGCGGTTAGAGAAATCGGTTCTATTGGCGATTTAAAGTCGAACCGGGATAATGCCACTTGCGGTCGTAAGTAAAAGTACGGGCGCAAGTCGCACAAGACGAAGCTTCGTTTCGCGTTTTGCCACGACCAAGGGGTTTGTCGGAACAGCAATTTTCCGTAGAAAGAATGTCCTAAGAGCCATCGGAATACGTTCCACCGAGGCGGTGATCGGTGACGATCGGCTTCTTGCTTGTTCGTCGGTGTCCGGCGACGCGTTCTTAAGGAACATTTTTTCTAGAAAACGATTACGGTTTGCTGGCAAATCGATCCACCGCGAATCTTTACGCCGGAATTTTATTCGGGTTTATTTAAGAAACTTTTCCCTGCTTCTCCCTGCAAATAATTGACAATTATCCGTAATTTTCGATAAAATTTCTCGAGAAGCGGCGCGCAGTTCTCGTTAACATTCTCCGATAAATCCAGGCCACTTTTACTTTCCATCTGGCGGTGCAGGGCTCTCTTTGAATCTGTCCCGCGACCGCTAATGAATTCGATTTTTTCTCCGATCGCAGCAGGAACGATCGCCCCGATGAGACCGTTTCGCGTTGGTGCGCGGCGACAAAGGCGGCCGTTGTGCCTCGCTCGCGTCCGCGCATGCGCGTGTGCACCGACGATGATCGCGATGAGAACGCGACGGGTGATAATGGTCTCCATTGTCGTCATGCAATCCGATGAGACATTCGAGATACGTGCAAACGGTCTATTGACAGTCGCGAGGATGACGATGACGATGCGGAACACCGACAATGACTTCGCGATCGTGCGATAAGCTACCACGTTGTTTCTTATTTTACCCCATCTTTCGTAAAGCGTCATGCAAAGCTACGATCTCGGTTTCCTAGCCATGACGCTCTTATCGGTTTCTTATCGACGTTTTAATCCTGACTCATCCCTATCTCGGTTCAGGTACTTTTCACGAGCAATGATACGGTCATCTTACATTTTTCGATAGGGGATATATAGAGCCTTATATATAGAGACAATATAGTTAATAAAATAATAAAATAAAAATGACACGTGAGGCAGATGGAAGAGTTATTTGAGTAGAATGAAAAATGCTTGTCAAAGAAACAAATTTGATTAATGGTGATCGTAATATATAACTGTATATAAGTAAATATATGATATTCGTATAATATATACTAAATATATATTTGAGCGTCTATTTATAAATAAACGCGACTTGCACTAATTTCAGTAGAACGCGTAAATCGCTTCCTTCCCTCCAAGTTAGCATCGTTCGTGTTAGCGACTTGAACGCTGCTGTTTAATTATGACAACGTAGAATTGCGGATTCAGAAGTACAAAAGATAATAAGAGAGTCTGACGTAACCAGCGCAGATCTTTCGTGTCTCACGCTCCACGAATAAACGCAATTACATCAATCGCACTAATGGGCCAGAGGGTGGCAATTAAGTGGACACTTTTCGTCTCTTTTATGACTCTTATTATAGAGGAAAACAGGAAACGGCGCGATATCTTGATACAGAAAGGAGTAAACGAGGATGAAGAAAAAAAATCGAGGAAGTGAAACAGTCTGTGACATATGCAAGTTACGAGAACGAAATGCCAGCTAGAAAAGATGAAGATGAGGTAGGAGCAGTTACTGTTTTTTCCCTACTAAAACCTCCTAATCAAACTGTTCCAAAAGAAACAAAAAATCCGCAAGCAATCTATCTCGATAGGTACTTTGGAGAGTAAAAGCAAATCTGCGCGTTCGCATTCGTTTCCACGAAACCGTAATTACGCGTTGAATCGTCCCACGGCGCGATTGCATTGAAAACGCTTCTAAAAATACGCGGTGATGTCGATCCGCGGCGCGGCTAATGAAATACACGGCCGACTTCCGATTATCAGCGTCGCCGCCTCTCGATCCTTTCCGCGGAATCACCTTCGCTTTCCTCCCAGAGGGGAGCGGGGCCTCTGGCCTCACGAAAGGTGGAGAGAGGGTACAGAGGGACACACAGGGGCCCGTCGCGCGCGATTTCAGATTCACCGCGCGTTTTCGTCTATCCGCGAGGGATCTTGGTCGCCCTTCGAGCGCGCAGAGGTGACCTCGTCTCTCCTTCATCTCTCAAGGCCATCTAATCGCGACACGTCCGCTTCGAGCACGTAGCCGGGGGTTAGGCCCTGTCGCTCAACGACTTTATTAGCCCCTCGCGGAAGGGACGGGTACGCATGGCCAGCTTTAAATGAGACAATTCGCATGACCGCGATCAGGAGATTAAGATACACCGGGACAGAGGCCCGGGAGCCATATTTGGAGACGCAGGGGGCCCCCTCGGAGGAGGCCACGGCGTCGTCTTCGCCGCCAGTGGTCCACGAACGCGGAGTGTTGCTTCTCGTCGCCATAAAACCGACCTCGTCCCTTTTCCCTCCTTAAGGGATTCGCAACTTTATGTGACGGGGAAATGTCAACTTGTCCCACCCCTACGACACGATTCGCACGTCCTCAAAGTTGGGAATTGGAAAGTTTAACGTTTGCGGGTACCAGTGAGCAGTAGGATTTATGGGATGTAAGGAGGATGAAAAATCTCGCATGGGGTTCAAAACTGAAGCACGTACAGTTAGAATTGAATAAAAATTAAATATCAGAGATATTATTTATCTAGCAGGACTATAATTTAGAAAAAAAAAGTTGTTTCTGCGAAATATTGACTATGAGACAGAAATTTACTGTGGAAGACTATTATTGTTATCATTACTATTATTAAAAATAATATTCCTATTCTACGCGTTAAAATAAGACGATAATCGAGAATGATAAAATTGCGTTGGTGGCTGCGTATTCGAGTAATTAATTCCCAAAGGTGCGCTTGAAATGTCTGACGCGTGGTCTTATACTACTGCGGGAGCGCGCGCGCGACGTTGGCAGTAGTATAAGACCACGCGTCAGACATCTCTCCAGCGCATCTTCGGGAATTTATTAATGGAATACGAATCAATCCTGATCTTTTTACAATTACATGGGGCGTTATTGTTAACACAGCTCAAGAATAAATATGAATATTCGAAATAAATTTCTTTCTACACACGGTCTCTATTAGAATCGTTTAAAGCATAGTTCCTGTTAACGTTCATCTTTGCACGCCCCTCGCTAAATTTCTGGGTGCGTCATTGTTTAAAGGAAAGAGGTGCTATTTTCTGACGTCAAAGGCGTTTCCGTTGCTGATGTCAGGAACGGAGGTAATAAAAGCGACATTCTAATACGATGAGAAGAAATCGAGAAGAGCCGAGTTTACGACTCTACCACGGTGCGAAAATAAATGTTCTCTTTGGATTTTGACATGTTTTTGCTTGTCATCGACATTAATGTGCTCGTAATGAGCACACTGGAATTTAGAAAAATATTGTGCTTGTTTTTCGGAAGAGGACCTGTGAGAATGAAATTCATCGTAAGAGTAGTAAAACTATTTGTTACTACTTTGATAAGAAAGAATTCGTTCGTAACGTTCGTTCCCCGAAGAATAATTTATACAACGCTACGAACGAATCGTTATTATTTCACGACATGATTATTACGCTGAATTATAGAATGACAATATTATGAAAGGCAAATTACATGTTGATTCTATAAAATTTGAATGTTTCTCAGCTCCAGACGACCGAACGTCCATCTTCCGCGAAGGTAAGGAGACCCAGGTAACCATACGGAATGCAAAATTCGTAGCTCGACAAGGTCAAACGAGACATTTGTTTATCCAGGTTTATTCGATTGTTTTCGACTGCTAAATCCAGTTCTGGTGTCTGACATATTACGGAGAAGACTGTGTCTAAAGTACCCTGGTAAATGTTACGAATGCAAAAGGTAAGCCTTGAAATTTTACGACGACGTTTACAGTCAGTCACAAAAGTCTACATACCGCTCGTAAATTGCATTATTACAGATAATACGACTTGTTTAATAAGCCTATAATGCAGTTAAAATCAAAAGTCTTTTCCAAAAATAAGATTTACTAATATCATTTCCACGAGAACTTGACAAGTTGATTAAATATCATACGTGTGTTGAAGTTTATTAAAAATCTAACTTCAGGGTGTTAAGAAGATATGTCAACGTCAAGGTCAACCATCTACGATTCAAGGTCATTCAAGGTCACTGACTAATAAAGCACTGATATGAATAAGAATATCACACATATTAGAAAATTAATATCAACAAGCAGATTTATTTTATTTCAGTAAAAAGAAAAATGTATTTGTGTAATATAAATTTTATAGTATAATAGTATTTTATAGTATTCCACTTCTCATTCATTCGGACGTTTACATGAATGAGTTAGGTGGATATTAATTTTCATATATATTTTCAATATCGTCCACAAACCAATTAGCATTAGTCCACATACCGGGTGTATGTAACTTCAAAACAATAACAATCAAATCGCGTCCGCAACGAGGCAACGGAGAGGTGTTAACAAGGAAGAAGATAATAAAAATACATGTCCTCGAATTTTTTAGAAGAGCACCGTGATCGACGCCAATTGATTCCGCGACATGTGCAACCTTGAGCCAACCCTTTCGCGGCTGCCTGGTAATCAAGAACAACGGCAATAAAGCCGCCGTTACAGGAAAGTACAATATGATTCTCTAGCGTACTTCGGCCACAACTTCGACGCAATAAACAGTCACGTGTCCCCCGTAAATATTTAGCGCCTTCCCCTGCCTGTGTTTTATTGTTCGCCGACCTCCGCGGCCCGTCCATTCAATGATTCAATGATAAAATCGAAGGTTCGCGCCTGAAGCAACGACAGTGCCCCGTGTCGGCTCGTTCTTTAATATCGTTGAGGAAAAATGACGTACAATCGGTGGGGGGAGGCTCATGGCTAGTCGATGCTGCATCGCGGTGATTATTTATTTTCCAAAAGTAACACAAACCGCAGCCTCGCGACTTGGAATTCCATAAATCAACGTGCTTCGACATATATACGATATTTGTTCGATATAAACTTTATTCTTTTGTAAGTGAGGCTAATGCACATAAATTTTCAAAAATTAATCATTTTCAAATTTTAACGTAAACTTTGTATTCTTTCGAAGATGATTCGAACTTGGAACTTGCACATCACGAGCTCGTTTCGACCCTGCACGGAACCTTATTTCTACACGAGTCTACCTATTGACAGAAAATATTTCTTCCTGCCACCACTTCAAGTCAATTTGGCTCTCATTCTCGACCATTTGCTAATGAAAGCACTCGACGCGAACTCGACTCGTTTTCAAGAGGAGTAAAACGACTATTCGGCTACTTCGACCACTAAGACAGGAATCGATGACTTGTTATTGTTCCACCTTCGTTATTGTTCAGGGTTCATTCCCACTCTACAGTCACCATCCGCCCTGTTAAATTTACGCAAATGTCGCGGCTGCTGTTCCCGAATACTGATCGTTACACCGACGAAAACACGTCGTTGGAAGTGCAATTGACGAGTTTCGGTGTTCGGATCGCGGCCATCGCGGCAATCGAAATTCCTTCAGAAACCGTGGCTGCATCGAGGATGTTTACGGCGTGGTCGCGACAATGTTGCTGAAATTGCACGGACAGAAATACGAGAACCGATCCGTAGGACTGAATGGGACCAGTTGAATCGAGCTGCCTTTTCGAGAGGTTTTACTGTTTCGCCATAAAACACCTTCGGGGTGTGTTTCTGCGACTGGAGACTTCCAGTTACTATCCTACACTTGCTCTGTTCGTAAATTCTCTTTCCAGCTTGTGAAGCTTCTTTTACAGACCAATTTCAACGAATACATCTGAGTTAGTTTTTGAAAATAGCGACATGGGTTGAAAAATGTTCCTATAATTTCGAGTTACGAATCTCTATTTTATTTACGTTTATTTAATGACTTGATCTTATACATCGAAGATAAATACAGAAATCGTTCTTTCCAACGTAACACTCTGTTTTTATGATAATCATGATTCCAAGCTGAAAAAGGTGCGTCTAAAAGTCACGATAATTGATTCTGCACTGTCAACTATTATCACCTTTACCGACGTAAACAGAAGAGTGTGGAATAAAAAGTGCAACATGTTATACAACCAAGAATTACGTAGCTCCGATGATAACGTACACTAATAAAATAATTAAGATATTTTAAAAGCTGACACAACGTGGGTAATTCTAACAGTGATTCACATTAAGTACGTCATTAGTCGTGAAATTATTCGCACATCATGAATTTAACATTAAGCACTTTTTTACTCTTCAATTAAACATTTTCTGGTATTCGAACGTATGTTGTACTAAGCATATTGTCCTTTGGTGTTAATTAAAAATTACTCCAGTCTGTTTCAAGATGAAAATAATAATAATATTCATAGCAGGATCTCATTTCCTTCGACCAAATTCTTTCTTTTTCAACCTTGTCAACTTATTGACTTGGAGAGGCGGAAATGGTAACAACGAGCGGTAAAATGGCAAGAAAACTGCAATAGTCCTCGGTGCAATTGACACCTTGGAAAAAACCAGAAGCAACGAGGCTAATGCCTGAAGAACTGCTCGACTAGATCGTCCATTTCCTCTCTATAGATCAGCGAAACTATCGAATCGATGCAGATATCTAGATTAGACGGAAGTCAAGTTTCTTGCTTCAAATATACAGGGCACTTATTCTATATAAATATGTGCACATTGAATTTGCACCAGCGATGATCAAAGAGCTATTTCCTCTATCGATTCATCACGAGGGAAAGTCTGCCAGAAAGTCGAGATGGATAGAACTTGGATCGAATTATAGACGACGAGTAGAAATTGTGTATCGTGGTTTATTTGGATTAATGTTAGTGATTCATGAAAAACTAAACATAAAATTATCAAATAGATACTCAAATAATGATTATTTTCAAAATATCTTCTTGTAAATATTGAATTCAAGGGAATGAAGACAGTGATTATGGAAAGACTCCTCTCTAAAAAAGATAAACACTATGAATAAAAATCGACTTCCAATAAAAACAAAAATATTTCTATACTCAACAAACAGGGCACATTAATGGCGCGATTTCTTAATCAGTGTCAACACGATCATCCAGAGTTGCCTACCGCAATTTCTGCAAATAGTTCACGACATAATTTACTAAAAGAACCTCTTAAATTTCCGTGGCTTCCACTCGTTATTCAAAGCATCTTCATCCAGATAAGAAGTCTGCCCATCTCTGTGCCCCGTTCCAGCGCGGCGTGTTCCACTGACACACTTCGAACGCGGCAAGGTCGGTGGTTCGTGCACCGAATCGTGATCCACTCGTCCCACCAGCCCTTTTTCCTCCATTCACGGCGGTTTCGAGACGGTGGCACTCTCGCGACGGTTTTCGAGACGGAATGAAGGACGAGGATTCGGTCACGGCTGTAACCCGCGGAGATTCGCACGTCAGAGCGAGGCGCGATCTTCATTCCGCGGACCTCGCTGCGAGCGGATAGGCGAAACAAAAGAGCGACAAGAGGAAAGAGAGAAAATAAAGGCAAAAGGATTGAGCCGTTCATAAGCCCTCGCACGGGCGTCTATTTCTGAGCTTAACGAGGACCGTCTCGAGAAGGACGCTCAAACTGGACGCGATGCAGTCCTCGTAATTGTGTCAAACTTCTCTTTTATCGCAACTCGAGCCTAACTTGTATATAGAACAATTTCAGCTGAAGCTTCTTTTGACAGTTAAAGTTTCTTTAAAGTGTACGCCTCGAGATACCCTCTAAATTTTTTATTCCGTAGTCTCCAATAGTCTAAATAATATTTAATCCTAGCAGAAATTTTCGAGGATACTTATCCAACAGTCAACGTGTTAAAGCGCATAAAAGTTCATTTTTATCCGTTTACTCAAACACGTCACCGTATCGCGCGTTAATTGATCTTTCAACGAGGTGCTGTCCTCCCTCTGGATATCTTGTTTCCTCGATGTCGAGACCCAATCAAGCTAGAGAGGAAAACGCACGTGTCCCGCAATCAATTCCCGACGAAAGTCGTTTCCCTTTCGATTAACGTCTCGCGTTCCCTCGTTTGACGAGCGCGACGCACGAAGTCGCATGGCAGAGACTCAGTGTCGTGTCATGACCAGGATAATTACGGTGATTTCCCCCGTGAAGGTGATCCGTCGATCCGCGCAGCAAACAATGACACGAAAGGCGATCTTCGAGATAAAAGCCTTCGTCGCTCCTCGAGGAACGAAAATCTCAATTTCGGATTATTATATTCGCTACCGGACATTGGGATAATTTGGGTGGAGCGATAAATGAAACGTAAAACCGATGTACATTTTTGTCGAACGTCACTCGACATAGAATCGCAAAGGGTTGATTCGTGATGTTTGTTCGATTCGATGGATTCGCAGTTTGGAAAAAAGTTTCCAGAGGCACGAAACTGTGATTTACTTATCGCATATGATTTGATCAAAGAAAAGAAATACTGCTCGATGAAATTCTCATGAATCTTCCATGTCGGAATATTAACGAATCCTGAGATCTTAAGCTGCCCAGAATCACCCTCTTATCTAACTTGGACACATTAGGAAGAAAAACAGACAGTTGAAGACACGTTAAACCAAAAAGTGAAAATTGTTCATGAATCTGGCATTGAAGGAGATGTTATAACAAGGAACATCGGACGTGCTTCACGAGATACCTGTATCAGATTATTACGACTTCTCCTTCGATTTCTCCATCAAACATCCATTTGCAGCAACAGGGAAAACCGAAGGATTCATTTTCCAACACTCCCTAATAACTTGATTAGACACATGGACTAAACAATTTCCTAAATTTCGAAAATACAGAGTAGACTCCCCAAAAGAATCCAATGTTTCCACCTCGTGCTTCCCAACTTCTTAGAATGTACAGATAGATTCTAGAAAACTTTCCAAATATGCTCACTCTTGAACGTCCTACTGCATGGATTCGGAACACAACAGCACTCTTAGTATCTTTGTCGATTAAAAAACAAAACTTGGTCAGATCTCATCGATGGATCGTTCGGATTGAATCAGTTCCAAAGAAAAATTCTCTACCCTCGATGATGCTCTATTTCCCTGAAAGCACTGTGTCACATTCTTAGTCCTCGAGTATCTCTAAAATTCTTAACCCGTCAACATGGTACCGACAATGGAGCGATGCACCACCGTATCACGATCCATCGACGAGTCAATCCAGCCCGGATTCGACCCGTCACCGCGAACGTCGCGTTAGCCCGGCACCCCTAACGCATCGCTCTGAACTTCAGAATTCAATTTACCTTCACTGGCACAGTAGCATTCCGATCGGTAATGCCTCTGGTGTACTGTTTAAGGATATCCCCGGAGCGGTTCTCCGCCGAGTACCAGCAAGAAGAGGATCGAACGAGGAGGAGAGAAACCCGGCTCGTGGTTATACCGAACAAAACACTCTCACGTACAGCAACTGTCACTGCCGGCGGGGCAGCCGGGTGTCTCGTCCCGTGGGACCGGCGAGACGAACACCTTGCGCCCGATCCTGATCCGATGCGACGTCGCAAGAACGATTATCATCGATCATCGATCGGGCAAGGGTCTTGCTCGCGCCTGTCGGCGTTCCTCGTTACTTTTCTTCACCACTACTCCGTTTCTCGTTCTACGACACCGCGCTACCAAACGCCGACACTCGATAAAATATATATATACCCCGCGAACAGCGAACTTCTCGAACCGTCCCGACACTTTTCTTCCAAGTCAGCTCACTCTGTAAGAGGTCACTTCGTCGATACCACACGCGCGATCGTTCGATTACCCGCGATGCCTCGCGACTGAATGCGAACTCAAAAAACTAGTTTAACGTTAAACTTTCGAGGGTGAAACCTCTATCGGTCACCTGCGTCACACGGGACGTGTCGTTTCGCACCCGACTACTACGGCTCGTTAGGTAATCCCGGAGCTAAACGCGCTTGGTGGCTACCACTCCGGCACGCACCGTTCTCCGCCGAGCGCCGAAGAACTAATGAAAACTGAGACCCAGCTTGATACTGCGTAGGCCGCTTACTACTCCTTCCACCGCGGCACCGTCCTATCCCACCGACGTGCCGGACCGGGCCCCGACAGAGACAGGCAGGAGAGAATGCACCAACGGACGGACGGACAGACGGACAGACGGACGAACGCGCGCGGCACGGACACGAACGGTCGAACGGACGAACCTCGACGGACATAAGGACTTTAAACAGGTATATACACACACGGAGGACGCGGTGCACAAGGTCTGGTAGGGTACACCGGGAGGACGGGTTCGGAACGATGCTCCGCTGTTAGTGCTCGTTGCTCCTGCCCAAGCGCGTTTGTCGCCGCTCCTGGGGGCGACCCTTTTGCGCCTGGCGAACGCTCCGCACTCGGTCAAGGTCTCGCAAACCAAAAACACGCGCGACGGACGGCGCAGACGCTGACTCTGATGGTGGTGCGTGTGGAGAGTTGTGGATTTCTTAGTGGAAATGGGAAGGGTTTCTCTTTTTTCTCTCAAAACCCCCTATATTTCAATTTTTCTGTAAGGGATGATGATGAAATTTGAAAGTGATGATAAACATACTTCGTACCTTTATATTTTTGACAAGTTTGAAGCTTTTAATAAACCTCGACAATTTTATTAAAATTTCACTGAAAAGAAGCTTGACCAAACTTCGACGTCCCACTACTTCGATGTCCCTATACTTGGTCGTCACAGTCGATGATTTGGTCCACGGTCAGCGCTATACTTGGCGAGACGAAGCCTCTCGTGCGAGGGTGGCAGCCATCGCCTCGTGAACTCGATTCGAGAACGTGAGGTGTATGCGAAGGATGATGGTCGGATGATGCGTTGGTTAACGAGACGATTGAGACATCGAACGGTAGGCGACTATCCGAGAAAATGTGAGAGGACGACGAGAAGAATAGTCGCGGGTTTAAAGAATATGGGCCGCGCGTGGGCTTCGATGGTTCCAGAACGTTTCCTACCGTGGACATTGGAAGCTTAGAAACCGTTCGCGGGCCTGATTTATAACAGGTGTCTCGTTCCGCGGTACCTAGACGCCTAGATGGGTCAAAGTTTCGCCCTTCCGTGCTTGACCACGAGCCGCGATTCTCACACGTGATTGGCGTGCGTAAATGGGTGACGACTAAAATGGTGGAACCGAGCAACAACGACGAACAGGATTTTCGAGATGATGATGATAATGATGATGATGATGACCGATAATGATGATGATGGCTGTGGTAGCGATGCCTGGGTGACCGAGGCGAGGAGGGTACGCACGGGTTCAACTATACGCCGGGGCTCCATCTTTCCCTGTACAGGGTGAGTCAACCACTGTCACCTGACGGCCCTTTTTGGGTGGGAAAAATTGATTTCTCGCTGTGAAATATTAAGTTTTCGTTGGTTAATAAAAATTGGAGTTCCGATAATTAATTAGTTGGCACCACATAGAATAACCTCGATGACCTCGTAACATTCTTGACACCCACAAAATAGATCAAATGAAACCAAGTGCTTCCTCCTTCCCCAATACTTGAACTTGGCTTCAAAAAATTGTTTGATCCAACAACAGTCGACTCACTCCGTACATCTGGATTCAGAGCCGACCTTGAACTTACAGGCGCTCCTCGCGGTGTTAATGAAGAGTCAGACCGAGAGTCCTCCGCGCGGTGGACAGACGTCTGTCTCTAATTGGCCTCGGCCACGGACCACCTCCAGAACGAAGAAAGCCGTCCGTTTAAACCGAAGAAGTTATTTTCACTTTCTACATCCGCCAGCCAGCAAGCGGAACACGACGGAACGCGCGTAGTAATTGTACGTGGCCCCAGCGTGTTTCGCGGTGGAAACGACGTGGTTCAAGTTGGACCGATTACGTGACGTAACCCAGCAGAAGTTCGTATTCGTTCAACCTTAAATAAAATTGCATTTTACAATTTCTATTGGCAATTTCGTGAATGCTGTCCTGTTCACGGCACCTCTGGTCAATTTTTATTATATACCCTTATCTATGTACAATTTGTTTTACAAGAATCATTCTATAAATTTTCTATAAAACTCTGTTACGTAAAAATCTAATTTAATGTTTAGTTCAAAGTAACGGCAACCGTTTAGAAAACGTAAAATAAAATAGTGAAGCTATTCGGAATAATTCAGTTACCCTCAACGAGTTGATGAAAGGTACACAGCCCGTGAAAACGACGTGGTTGAAGTTCGAGCGCTCGAGGATCGACCAGTAGGCCGCGCATGTGATGTAACCGAGCATGCACACAGTGGGTGTTCTATGTACAATTGTTCGACGTCTCGTTGCGTCAGTTGAATGCGTCCATATGACAGATGTGACAGATCTATAGGCTAACCTGTCCCGTCGAATGGTTTACTTTACTTCGTCGACCGCCTATGACTAATTACCGCGCGAGCGAGAAATTAAACGGTTCGAATTTTTATCGGGCACTGTTCAGAGCTGGATTAGGTCTGGCAACACGTGCGTGTATCGCAAGGCATACGTGACTGTTGCAACGAGTGTTTTCGCTGTAAAACATTGTTTACCATGAATATACAGCAAACAATTAGTTCAACAAAGAATACTTGCATAATGTGTATCTGGTTCAATGAAAAACTTTGTTTCTTCGAGGAACTCGACATAGTCACTTATTTCATAGAATATCAATTATTTATTCTACGGGGCATTCGAGATCGCATAAATTCCTCGGATATTTTTCATACATTTTACCAATGTGTAGACAAAATTATATCCCATCCTTTTCCTGAAAAAATATACTCGCCCGTGTGACCAACTATGTAAATTTAAATTTCAAGGTTAAGAATGACAAGAGCTTCGTTCCATCAACTAATCCGATAAAATACTCGAACAATCCCGCCCGTTGATTATAGAATAAGCCTCGCTGATTTAATACCTGGCCTTTAAAGCGCACTCGACTGGATCCGCGGTGCATAAATATCCTAACTCCGGTATTCGAGTAATCCTTGGACAAACTAAGTACAACGCCGGTAGGTGTACGCCACTTTAAAAACAAACGAGCGACAAAACCTTCGTACATGGAAGTAAATCTCGCAGTGGCTCGAGCCGAATGCTCGTGAATGTCGTTACCCGCGCACTTTCTCTAATCGAGTCACGTGCGAGTGGCCACTGCAAGGACTATTACGCCGATAACGTTCCGCGGAAGGCTGGATAAGGTTTAGACGGTCGATGAAACGACGGAGGGATAAAGAGTGGCGTAGCGAAAGGATGAAAAAAGGCGATAAAAGAAGAAATAAAAAGCAATTTTATCAACGTACACAGTCTTGTTCGTACTAAAAATTAATTATTGATAAATACTGCGGTCGCGAACTGAATTTCTTCTTAATTCTTTATTTAGTTAATAATATTTGGAAAACGACGAAATATAAATTATCGAGTCGTGGAATAAACCTCCTATTAAGCTGTCTTTAGATTTCGAGATATTAAACTTTTTATGAGCGAAACTCTGTCAGTGTTAAGAATATTGAAAATAAATTTTAGGCATGTTCATACTTGACAACGCGTGAAATAAATTCGAGGCTTGTCTCGGACCACTCGAAATGTTAATCATCGCGTGAAATAAAAATCGCGTAGAAGGCATTGAAATAAATAGTACAAAGGCTCGTGGCGTACGGAGTCGGTTCGCGGAACGCGATTTTCAAGCAAATATCTCAGCGAGCTCGGGTGCACTTAATCTCGGTGCACGTGAATGTTTGCGCACAACTTTGCAGCTTCGAAAGGCGCACGGTAAACACTGGCGACCGAACGGACGATAACGACGCGCGTAAATCGTCGTTATTAATGAAACGCTACGAATTTATTGCTTGTTTTATGGGGGTAGGGGGACACGCGCAATTATCAGCGACGAGGAAAATATTGCGGGGGTATAATCTGTATGTAATACGAACAAAACGGACGATTTCCACCGTCGATCGTGATGGAAGATCTCGTGCACCAGGGTTCAGAAAATTGTGCAAGTTTCATAAAGTATGGGGGGTGTTTCGCTTAAGGAGGGGATACCACTGTAACAGCTTCAAAAATAGGTGATTTTCGTGAATTTCTTTTTGAAAAACTATTAATAATTTCCGAATAATCTTTCTTGAAAAATTCGCTCGAGCAACTCATCAAGCCTCGTTATTTAATCTCGAACCTCTATCATCGATCATTCGGTTCACCGCGGGTCCACTGTCATCGAAGTCGGTTTTTTATGCGACCTTTGACCCCGCTGTCCAGCCAACCCTCCAGTCTTACGTCTCAATCCGTGGGAGTAGTACACGATGTTCGGACCTAATCGAATGCCTCATCCTCGCCGGTGTCGCTTCCAGTATCTCGCTTTCGGATCGTGCCTTTATCGAAATGCGTTTAGTCACGATTCTTGGCCGACGAACGGCCATATTAGCGCGCAGACCATCAACGGGACGATCAACTGACAGCCTAAAAGGGTTCCAAAAAGGTGAAGGGATGCCGAAAAAATTCTGGCGTCCTGTAATTAATTCCTGTCCCTGTCCTGCCGCTCGAGACCGCTGCGGCTCGTACGCTTTGCTCTCGAAATCAATAAATAATTAAGCTCAACGTTTAAAAAGGAGAGGGGCTGGGGGTTACTTGAATTTTGGCGATGACGTTACGCCACCGGTTCCATGGTTGCCGCTCGTGCTATTTATGCGGACGATAAATCAATTTCGACCAGGTAATTCGATGAATTCGGAGAGCCTGGATAACGATGCCGTGGGTGGGACGATTTGCATTCGGACGATGCTGCGCGCTAATTGATGCCCGTACGTAAATCGAGAGTCGACACACCGGCTCGTAGGCGTTTTGTGAAATACGCGAAACCAGAGGACGTCCTTACGTAACGCGGCTGGTTGGAGCAACTCTTTGAATCAGTCTATTCCTTTAATTCCTCAAGGTACACGATTTCAGAACGATTCACTTACTCGTATGATACGACTAAA